GAAGCTTCTATTTTCAGACACTGACATTCTTCAACCTTTTGGGTTTCCCCAATTTAACTATCCACTTGGAAATTAAGCCTGAAGAGTTTAAGCTGCTTAAAAACCCATCAGGTTAATCTTGTTTTTTCTTTAAACAACTGTGCAATGGGAAAGGGGTGAAAGAGAATGGCAAACATTATAGATAATGCATAATGCCATAATCTCTGCATAAGTTACGTTTCCCACTTTACAATAATGACAATGCTACAGTGACTGTAAAGCACTTTGAGAGGTTCTGACATTGCAAAAGACACTATATAAATATTAACCTTTCTTCTGTTGATGCTCATTTCAGGTTATGAAGGAGCAGGAATCAGTCTCAAAAAGACTGTTAGGCAATACCTTGTCAAAAATTTCCTCCACCCCAGATATTGAAGAATGTGGTAAGAATTATCGATAACTATCAAACAACCTACCTATAGGAAATATTAACATTGGGAACACATGGGACATATAAACAATTTATGATTTTGTGATTTTTTTAAAAACTAATTCCTTTTTTAAATTCTCTCATGAGTCAAATAGTAAAAACTCACCCTTTAATTTCTGTATCCTTTATCTTGTACTATCCTGAAGAAATAGAACCATAATTTATTTTTTTTTCCATAATTTATTTATTAGAACCCTAGATCCAGAGCTCCAATTCTGGAGAATTGCAGAAAATAAATCTCCCTAGTGATCCCCTGAAATTGTCATTGTCATTTTCTGGGAACTGCACCATTTCTACGCAAGCTTCAGATCTTTGGGAGCAGGGATTGCAGGAATCCAGTCCAAACTGATCAAATCTCCAAAAGTGATATGAATTGTTTGATCTAAATGGTGACATTATAGATCGTCTTGGTCCTCTGTCCAATAACTTCCAAAGGCAGGACATACCAATCTCTAACCATATTTCATGATAGGCCAACAGTGATTACCCAGTAAAATAATATTTCAATTTGATGTTGCAGAGAATTGCTCCTTATGCTTGCCTGACAAAGAATCCTGGATTAGTAGTCTTGGGGTAATGAACTTCCCAAGGAAAGCTGCAAAGAAACCACCACGAACAGAGCGAACACTGACCTGTGTGGTTACACGGAAGAGGAATGCTGGTGATGCAGAAGAATACTTCCTAGTTCAGAGACCTAACGTTGGTACCTACTGTCAACTGAAAACAATTTGAGTGGAGGTGGTGTGGGAAGAGAGAGATTGTAATTCTGTTATGTTTGCTTTACACATCTTTGAGAGTTAAAGCAATAGTAGTATAAGAAAACAGTGACTTCAAGTGTACATAATACTGGAGTCAATGTCTGGACACTTGTTATCTGAGAACATATTGTACTAAATTAATGAGAACTCCAATAGTAAAGGAACAGGTTTCACCATGTGCTAAACTAATTGCAGCATAGATGTACGCGTCAAAGGGGGCACAGATATGAAGCATAAGGATTACAGAAACAAGGCAAATATTGGTAGTTTCCATCAGAGGAACTAGAATGTCATGTGTGAATAGTAGATGCATCATCACTGAAAATGTAATTGGTAATTGATCTTTGATTTTCTTTTCTTTGAAACCTTTCGCTGTGTCTTTCTGATTACCAGGACTGTTAGCTGGAATGTGGGAGTTCCCCAGCATTCTATTGGAAGTTGAGATGACGGAAAAGGAACAGAAATGTACTGTTTTAGATCGACTTACAGAATTATTGGGGAGTTCAGTTACAGAGAAAAATTTACAGTACTTGGGGGAGGTGAGTTTGCAAGTATTGTTAACTAAAAATAGAGGTCATAATTTCTGAAAAACAGAATTGGATTAAATGCGTCAAGGTGATGAAAATGTCATTGCAGCAATGTTGTCCAGCACCTACGTATCTGAATGTGACTGGTATAATTTTGCATTTAAAATTTTGCAGGTTTTATTGACATTAGCCAACTAAGGCATGAACTGTGTAAGATTGAGATGGATTAGACAGTTTATTTTTTCTATTTTTTTTTAGGTGGTACATATCTTTTCTCACATTCACCAGACCTACCTTGTGTACAGTAATTCACTTGGTAGTGCACCAATCGATACTGTAAAGCAGGGGGAGACAAAATGTCCTCCCTTCCGCTGGGTAACCAAGGCTGAGTTTCAACAATCAGCTGTGTCTACAGCCATGAAGAAGGTAAGCCTCTGGACATGCTTAGCTATGGGATTTGATGAGTGGCATGGGTGAAGAGACAAAAGAAAGGACAGGGTTCAGTTTCTGAGAACGCTTTGGACTCTAAGATTATAACTTGAAGGTTCCTATTTGATGATTTGTTACGTCAGAGCAGCTTCTGTCATACTAAAAGCACTACTTCACTTCCTTTCCACTGGCAATAAATTGTGCATAAATGTGGGATCTCAGAAGTCTTCAATTTAAAGTTAAAGGAGCAGTTTTCAAAAGATTGAAAACAAAAACAACTCTGGTGCGACAGATTATTGGGATTTGCAAAGTTCTGAAGAAGGGTCACTGGACCTGGAATGTTAACTGATTTCTCTTCACAGATGCTGCCAGACCTACTGAGCTTTACCAGCAATTTTGGTTTCTGATTTAGAGCATCCTCAGCTCTTTTAGGTTTTATTTGGGATTTGGAATGTATTGCCTGTTTGGGTTTTTAAGAATCCCTACAGTCTGGAAACTGGCCATTCAGCCCAACAAGTCCACACCGTCTCTCCAAGGAGCACCCACCCAGACCCATCCTCCTACACTCTCCCTGTAACCTTGCATTTCCCATGGCTAATCCACATAATTTACACACCTCTGGACACTATGGGCAATTTAGCCTGGCCAATCCGCCTAACCCGCACATCTTTGGACTGTGGGAGGAAATCGGAGCCTCCAGCGGAAACCCACGCAGACACAGGGAGAATGTGCAAACTCCAAACAGATAATTGCTCGAGGCTGGAATCAAACCCGTGTCCCTGGCACTGTGAGGCAACAGTGCGAACCACTGAGCTACCATGCCCCTCCACTTTAAGACAATATTGATTCAGAAGTAGCCTTCAAAAGGGAGTTGATATTTATTTGAAGGCGAAAATATTGCAAAATTTGAAGAAAGGACAGAGGGCTTACAGAATTGGTCTTTAAAATGAGCAACATAAGCTCTGATCAGTTTGCAGCACTGTACTAATCTATGGTGCAAAGCAGCAGTGAGTAGAGAAATTAAAGTTTGGAAATAAGGAAGGACAGAATTTTAAAATTACCATTATAGTTTCTGTACATGGGCCTGAATAAGGTTAACTGACTGGGCTATGAGGTCTTTCTTCATTCAAACTCACTAATAATCTAAGGTCTGTTACTAGGATTGTGATGGTAAGGGGCTTCAGCATTTAGAATTGTGGGTCTGTTTGCCACAGTGCTCCACTGGGAATAATTAGAGCTTGTCTTGGAACCTAGTGTGTGTACCCCTGAATCCCCAAATATAAACCCTGTGTAATGGCAGGATTGAGATAGCAGCGAGATGTTTGAAGAGCTGTGGGCTTCAACCCATGTTCTTCCACTGTATGAAGCAACATGTTTGGACTTGACACAGTTACCTCCTAAGGATGGGTGATTTATATTTTTGGGTCAAAGCTCACTGTTCAGTGTTTTAACTCTGATCTTCATACTTTCAGGTATTAAAATTGTCTAGCCACTCGAGTACGGTTGAGAAGCTGTTGGATAAGGTAATAATAAAACATCTTGCATTCATACACGACTTTGCATTGGTATTATAAAACGTAATATGATGGTGGAGGTGAAACAGAGTTGGATGTTGGCTGCATTCACGTAAAGCCTAATGCTGCAATTTATTTTTGCATTCTTCGATTTCTGTTTGCCACTGATTTTATATACCCTCCTCCTGTTTCAATTTGTTGTGATATTAAGTATAAGCACAATAGATTCACTAGCACTTCATGCTGTCAGAAGTTATGGACTGGAGCTTACTCTGTAACTGAGTTTGTCAAGTGAATATTTAAACCAAGCAGCCCAGGAAGGTTGGGATTTGTTGTTTGGACTGTGCTGAGATCCTGCAGTGTGGAAGCAGGCCAGTTGATTCATCTAGTCCACACCGACCTTCTGAAGAGCATCCCAATCAGACCCTCTTACCCTATCTCTGTAGCCCTGTGTTTCCCATGGCTAATCCACCTAGCCTGCACATTCCTGGACACTATGGGCAAGTTAGCATGGCCAATCCATCTAACCTGTGGGAGGAAACCAGAGCATCTGGAGGAAACCCACGCAGACACTGAGAGAATGTGCAAATTCTGCACAGACAGTCCCCCAAGGTGGAATCGCACCCAGGCCCCTGGTAGTGAGGCAGTGTTGATAACCACTAAGCCACTGAGCTGCCCTCGATGATAGATGGTCTTTGCTAGGCTACTGTACACTTTAGCATTTGGTTTTGAAATGAATGAAAATCTGTGAAGGCTGCAGCTCCTGATACTTTCTGTAAATGTCCACATATGAATGATGGGTAAGGATAGAATTGAATTTGATTATAATTCCCTATGTAATCAAATATCTTGTTGATATAAAGCCAATATATGAATAATGCTCATAACTTTGTTTCTATTAAAAGTTTATTTCAAATTTCTAGTTAAAACCAATTTAAAACAATTAATATTTTGATCCCTCTGCAGGATGACAAGCGAGTCCGTGGCTCTGAAAAAAATAGGAAAGAACAGAAAAGAAGAAAACACAAAGCTCCAACAGAGCATGGGGGGAGACAGCTCTCCATGGACAGTTTTTTCAGAACTACAGTGAAGGAGTCTCTATAGTTATCCAAAGTGAACAGTTGAATAGTGCTTCAGCAGACACAGGCCAAGCTATTCTTTCAACAGTGGATGAGAAGTAAGACTCTGTTAATGTCCCAAAAAATTCCCTTCACATAAGGCTAATGATACTGTAAGACCACTAACAGCAGTCAAATAGTACAGTATTTTGTACCCTGCAGTAACCCTAACAGCAGTCAAATAGTACAGTATTTTGTACCCTGCTCCAGGTGTCATCTGTTTATGATTGTGTTGCAGTTCAAAAAAGTCAGTTTGAGACTAGAAATTCTTGGCTCTGCCTTGTAAGAGTATTGTGCGTGTGAGATTTTTTTTCATTTTTAGGTAAAGTACACTGACAGTTAGTTATTTTGCAGTAACGAGATAATGGTTTTCAGATAATGAGCATTGTTCGCATTCCAGATTGTTTTTTCAGCTGGGCAACTCATACTGCATGCACACACTCTCCTTGCACTCAATGAAGATAACTACCAGACAAACCATGACTTGAAAACAAATGCACACCAAATTTTAATGTCAGTAACAGGTTCAAAGCCCCAAATGATAGGACACTGCATTAAAAATGGGCTTTGATTGAAAAATCACTGTATTGAGTGTGAGCTCAGTAATAGAGAAAGAGTGTTCCATTGAATGTGGGCTCTGAGGGATGGGGAGTGTGTGCAGTACTGAGTGTGGACTCAGCAGTGGAGAGAGAGCTTTGAACTGAATGCAGTCTCTGAGTGATGGAGGGACAGTGCTGCATTGAGTCTGGGCTCAATGATGAAGAAAGAGCTTTGCATTGAATATTGGCTTAAGTGACAGAGATAGAGCTGCGTTTATTGCGGCCATAGTGATAGGAAGAGCTTTGTGTTGAGTCTGGCATCCATATTGTAGAGAGAATGCTGCCTTGAGTGTGGGCTCAGTAATAGAGTCATGGTCATAGGATTGTGGAATTTACAGCATAGAAACAGGCCCTTCGGCCAGCCATGTCTAACCAACAATCACCAAACTATACTAACCCCATTTACCTGGACTTGGTCCATAGCCTGCTGTGTTCTCGCAATCTCCTCCCTTGGCTCCTGTAGCAGCATGGGATACATCCCATCAGCCCCTGGAAATTTATGTACCTTTACATCCTCTAAAACATCTAATGCCTCCTCTTATTAATCTTAAGTTATCCTCAACAATTCCTGGCTATGTTGAGAGCTTTGCATTGTGTGGGTTCAGTGTTGGCAAGAGAATTCTGCATTGAATGTTGGCTTGGTGACAGATAGAGTTGCAGTTATTGTGATCTTAGTGACAGAGCTTTATGTTGAGGCTGGGCTCAGTGATGTTGAGAGAATGGTGCATTGAGTGTGGCTTCTAAGTGATGGAGAGTGAGTGCTGCACTGAGTGGGCTTTAAATGACAGAAAGTGAGTGCTGTATTGAGTGTCAACTGTAAGTGATAGTGGGCTCAGTGATGATGAGAGCTTTGCATTGAGTGGGCTCAGTGATGGAGAGAGAATGCTGCATTGAGTGTGAACGCTGAGTGATAATGAGAGAGTTGTGTATTGTATGTTAGCTCTGCATCATAGACAGTTACCTATAATGGGTGTCAGTACTATACATTGTTAGTATACAAAACAATCAAGAACATATTTTTGAAGCAAACAAAAACAGAAATTACTAGAGAAACTCAGCAGGTCTGGCAGCAGTTGTGGAGAGAAAAGAGCTAACATTTTGAGTCTGGTGACCTTTCTTCAGACCCTTCTGTTCCCTCTTCAAAGATGCAGCCAGACCTGCTGAATTTCTCCAACAATTCTTGTCTTTGTTTGTTTAAGATCTTGAGTATTCACAGCTCTTTGTTTTATTTAAGGATATCTGTCTTCTTTTATATTGTTTTGCAGTAACTGTCGAATATGTTTAATCATGGAGGTCAGGAGACTGGTGATTAATGTTTCAAACCAGGCTTTGTTTTTATTATTTTATTTCCCCCACTTAGCTAAGTCTTTACATTTTAATCACTCCCAAGTATCCAGTTCTTCAAGTCTGAATTATTTGATTATATTATAGTCTTCCTTCAGACTATGTCATCAGGAGAAAAAATCCACATGGTGCAGATAAAAACTGAAATAATTCTATAAAACATGCAACTGAAATTATTAACTAATGGGATTTTTATTTATAATTTAAGTTCATATGTTTCTTATTTTTCCACAAGTATAAAGAACAGATGTAATGTGTAACATATACTTGCAGCATACAGATGTTTTACATGGAATTTAATGCATTTTTAAAAATTTGCCTCCATTAACAGTATGCTCTCTTTTGGTAAAATTTAGAACAATTGTCCACTATCTTTTTAATTATCCACTGAATATCTTAATTCTGTGTTGATGCTCATACAGAGCAAACTAGTATGGAGGTTAAAAGCCAAGAGGGGCCATCTAGCCTGGAGTTCAATTGGAGTCCGTAGGTGACTGCTTTTAAGGGTCTCGTTCTATCACTATATGCATTGAACCAGCAATGGACATGGGTGATGCCATTTGGACAGACTGATAGGCACAGTTTGCAGGCTGACGGCTTCACCCGACAGTGGAAGCTGCAGCAGCAAGGGAAGGATCCATCGACTGGCACCTCCCTGACCTTGACATGCTTGTCTCCCTGCCTCAATCATTTCCAGAACTTGTTGACGTCTAATTGGCCAGTCCGGTATCTCTTGGTGATGGGACCTGTGCCCTGCAGGAGAAAATCCCACAGGAAATTTACAAGAGCAAGGAAGTCCATTGGCAGCTTGCAGACAGATTAGGAAATATTTGTGATGGGACTCCTGGAAATGGCTGTGGGGCTGTTGCTGCCAGTATCCCAGCGGTTGGAGGGGCTTGCTGGCACATACAGGAAACTTTGTGCAGTGTTTTGGGCCAGTTGCCTTTGTGTTGTTTGTGCTTATGTACTAGAAATGGTTGATTCCAAAACAAAAAATGCATCTGGAAATTTGAGAGGCACAGCAGAAATTCGACCCAGAAGAGAGAGATCGGTTCTCGATTGGTAATCAAGATTGATTTGGATCAGGGGTTATGGGGAGAAGGTAGGAGAATGGGGCTGCGAAACATACTAGCTGTAATCGCATATGGAGCAGGCTCCATGGACTGAATGGCATAACTCTGTTCCCATATTTTCTGGTTTTATGGTCTACTGCATGTGTCTGTGGAGCATCTTCACTGTGTCACTTTTTTTAACCCTGTATTACTGATGACTAATTTTGTACATTTTTAAAGAGGCATCTTTTCCAAATAAAAGTTATGGAATACGTCTGGTTCTTTTCATTCACAATCTGAAACCTACCAATTAGAAGGCACGTACATATAATACATTAAAGGATAAGAAAGAATTTATCTTGTATCCTCACTATTTCAAAGCTATTAAAGAACTGAGGTGTTGTAATGTAGAAAATAAAAGAGGCAAAGCAGTGTCTCAAAAATAATATTAAGATAAATGATCAGGAAAACTTTAGTAACATTGAATGAGGATAAATGTTTGCCTGAATACCAGCTAAACCCTTAACACTTTTCCAATGTTGTGATGGGATTATTTACATCCACCTGAGAGAGCAGTTGGAATCTTATTTGAAATGTGGAATGTTTGCATTGGAGCACCAGTCTAACTAATATATACAAATTTCTGGAGTAGAGTTTAAACTCATAATCTTTTAATTCAATGCTGAGAGAATTACCACTGAGTCAAGATTAAGGACTTACAGTGCACGTAATCACAGAAGAGGAATATTACCTCAGATTCATGTGGTCTTATTTCTTGATAACGGTGACCACCATTTAGAGCTATGGTTGTGCTCTTACTGGCAGTAATCCCTTCAATCCCAAACTGTCACAGTTGTAAAGTTCAAACCTTGCACTGGGAGTCAAGTCATAAACTAGGCTGATTCATAGGAACAAGAATAGACCTTTGAGGCTGCTGTGCTGTACAATTAGATTATGGGAGATCATCTACCTCAAAACCACTTTCCTGTACTATCTCCACTTTTTTAATGTGATTAATCTCCAGAAATTTCAGTTTTATGCCTTCAACATGCTGAATGATCGAGCTTCCACAGCACTCTGCAATTGACAGAGCTAAGTGATTCCGCAATAAAGCAAATCAGTTCTGATGAAGCGTCACTGGATCTGAAAAGTTGACTCTGTGTTCTCTCTACAGATGCTGCTAAACCTGCTGAATTTCTGCAGCAATTTCTGTTTTTGTTTCAGATCTAAGATCCAGCCCTGCCTCATCCAGTTGTGAATTTTAGTGGACATTTGAACAAGTCACTGGAGGAGAAAGTTCCACAAATATCCCCACCCACAATGTTGGGGGTGGTCAGTATATCAGTGCAAACGATAAGTCTGAAGCATTTGCAGCAACGTTCAGCCAGAAGTGCCAAGTGGATAATCTATCTCAACTTCCTTCTGCAGTCTCCTGCATCATTGATGTCAGTATCCAGCAAATTTGATTCACTCAAGATGATACCATAAAATATCTGAAGACCCTGGATGCCACAAAGGCAATGGGCACTAATAACATTCCGGCAATAGTACTAAGACTTGTGTTCCAGAACTTATCGTAATCCAACTATAATACTTGCAAATACCTGACAATGTGGAAAATTGCTCAGCTATGCCTTCTACTCAAAAAGCAGGACATATCTAACGTGGACAATTACTACCCATCAGTCTACTCAACCCCTTCTATAACTTCCTGATGATTATCAGCAGAACCTTCAAGCAGCATTTGCTTAGCAATAATCTGCTCAGTTTGGGTTCTGCCACATCCAGTGAGCTCCTGACCTCATTACAGCCTTTGTTCAAAAATGGACAAAAGAATTGAATTTCAGAGGTAAGGTGAGAGTGACTGCCCTTGGCGTGATGGTTGCATTGAACAGGGGTGGCATCAAGCAGCTCTAGAGAAGTTCGAATCAATAGGAATGAAAGCTCTCCAATGGTTGGAGTCATAGGAAGGCAATTGTGGTTGTTCAAGATCAGACATCTCAGTTTTAGGACTTCACTCCAGGATTTCTTCAGGGTAGCGTCATACGCCCAACCTTCTTCAGCTGCTTGATCAATGATCTTCACTCCAGAAGTGGGAATGGTAGCTGCTGATTGCTGATGAATATTGCACAATCACAGCTGCTCAGCTACTGAAGCAGTCCATGTCCAAATGCAGAAAGACAGGAACAGTAGCGAGGTTTGGGCTGACAAGAGATGAGTATCATTCATGCTACTACAGAAGTGCTAGGCAATGATCATTTTTAACAAAAGAAAACCTAACAATTGCCACTTGACAAACAATGCTATTACCATCATTGAATTCCCCCATGATAAACACCTAGGAGTTACCAATGACCAGAAACCGAACTGGACCAAACATAAGTTTCAGTTTCAGTTGTGGCATGTTCCTTTCAGGAGGAGGCTGTACTGGGGAAATCGAGCACAGGGTGTGTGGGCCTAGTTTTGGTTTGGAGACTTCCTTCCGGGAGGAGCCAGCAGCCACCCATTGTGGGGAAACATCCTGCTGATGCCACAGGGGGAAAAGGGAGCACGGTTTCTGATTGGTCAGGTGCTAGATTCTGTTAACTCGTTCATTCCATTGGTGCTACAGATGAAGGAATCTCACTGCATTAACAGGGTAAGTGTGTCTCAGCCTTTCAAAAGGGTCAGTACAGTTAGTTCACCTTCTAGTTAGTACAAGAAGTTCAGATAGCAAATAAGTTGGGGTGGCTATTTGTTATGAAGTAATAACTGTAATTTTTAGGTAGCAAATTAAGATTTAACTTGTAAATGAACAGCTAAGAGAGGATTAGTCATGTCACTTGGTGGGGTTTTGTGTTCTGCCTGTGAGCTATGGTCAATCATAGACACTGAGAACATCCCTGATAATTACATCTGCCAGCAGTGTAACCAGCCTGAGCTTCTCACCGAACGAATGGATTGGCTTGAGCAGCAGTTGGAGATATGAAGGAACACATAAATGGTGAAAACCATCAGAGATAGAAGTTATAGAAACGTGGTCACAGGAAGATGGGTGACAGCTAGACAGGGCAGGCAGTCAGTGCAGGAGGCCCCTGCAGCTTCCCTCCCACCGCTCCAAACAAATATTCCATTTTGGATCCTGATGAGGGGGATGACCCATCAGGTAGCAGCAACCAGAGCAGTGGCACCACGGGTGGCCCTGCTGTACAGAGGGGAGAGACAAAGCATAGTAGAGAAATAGTAATTGGAGATTTGATAGTCAGGGGCACAGATAGGTGCTTCTGTGGCCGTGAGTGAGAGTCTAGGATGTTATGTTGTCCCCCTGGTACCAGGGTCGTGGATGCCTCTGAGCAGGTACAGGGCACCCTGAAAGGGGAGGGTAAACAGACAGAAGTCATTTCCATATTGGCACAAATGACATAGGTAGGAAGAGTGACAAGGTCCTGCAATGACAATTCAGGGCGTTAGGTAGTAAACTGAAAAGCAGGACTTCTTAGGCAGTAATTCTCAGGATTACTCCCCATGCCATGTATTACTGAGGCTAGGACAGAGAGTACAATCGAACAAAAACTGAAAGAACTGCGGATGCTGTAAATGAGAAACAAAAACAAAAGTTGTTGGAAAAGCTCAGCAGGTCTGGCAGCATCTGTGAAGAAAAAGAATCAGAGTTAGCGTTTCGGGTCCGGTGACCCTTCCTCAGTTTTGGATTCAAAACATTAACTCTGATTTTTCTTCACAGATGCTGCCAGATCTGCTGAGCATTCCCAGCAACTTCTGTTTTTGTTTTAGTACAATTGTGGCTGAAGAACTGGTGTAGGGAGGAGGAGTGGATCATTGGGATGTCTTCCAGTGAAGGTGGGACCTGTACAAGAGGAGGGGTTGCACCTAAACTGGAGGAACCCCAATGTCGTGACAGGGAGGTTTGATAGTGCCATGTGGGGTAATTAAACTAGTGTGGCAGGGGGATGACAACCAGAGCAGCAAGTCAGTAAGTATAGAGACTGGGATGAGCTTGAGTCTAAGGCAAATATAGCTAGGAGGAAGAGCAGTCAGGGAGAGGTTGCTGAGCACAGTGGAACTGGGAGCTTGGACTGTATTTGCTTCAATGCAAGAAGTATAACAGGTAAGATGGATGAATTTAGAGCCTGGATTAATGCATTCAGTTATGGTGATGTCACTTTCACAGAGACATGGTTGAAAGAGGGACAGATTTGACATCTTGATGTTCTGGGATATTGATGTTATAGATGAGACAGAGGAAGAAGTAAAAGAGGTGGGGGAGTTACATGACTGGTTAGGGAGCATGTCACAGCTGTGTTGAGGGAGCACACCCTGGAGGGATCGTACAGCAAGACATTATGAATAGAGCTCAGGAATAGGAAGGGTGCAATCACAATGCTGGAATTATACTACAGACCTCCCAGTTGCCAGAGGGAGATAGATGAAGAGATATGTTGTCAGATTCTGGACAGACGTGAAAATAACAGGTTGTTGTGGTGGATGATTTTAACTTCCTCCATATCGACTGGGACTCCCTTAGTGCCAGGGGGTTTGGATAGGGAGCAATTTGTAGGTGTGTCCAGAAGACTTTTTTGAGACAGTATGTGGATAGTCCAACAAGGGAGGGGGTTATACTGGGTCTGGTGTAGAGAAATGAGCTGGCCAAGGTGATCAAAGTTTCAGAGGGAGAGCATTTTGGGAATAGTGACCATGATTCCATAGGTTTTTAGATACTTATGGATAAGGACAAGAGTGGACCTCTGATGAAGGTGTTAAATTGGGAGAAGGCCAACTATAACCGAATTAAGCAAGAACTGGAGAACGCGGATTAGGAGCGGCTGTTTGAGGCTAAATCCACATCTGACGTGTGGAGTATAAAAGATGGCAAGTTATGTTGCAGCAGTATAAAACATTAGTTAGGCCACATTTGGAATATTGTGTGCAGTGTGGTTGCCACACTACCAGAAGGACATGGATGCTTTGGAGAGTGTGCAGAGAAGGTTTACCAGGACATTGCCTGGTCTGGAGGGTTTTAATTACGAGGAGAGGTTGGATAAACCCTGAGATAACAAGGTGTAGAGCTAGATGAACACAGCAGGCCAAGCAGCATTAGAGGAGCAGGAA